TAGAATAGAATAGAATAGAATAGAATAGAATAGAATAGAATAGAATACTTTATCGGCCAGGTGTGATTGGACACACAAGGAATTTGTCTTGGTGTAAAAGATTATTAGTGCAGCTAATAATGTAAATAAAATTTGTGGTGGGGGGAGGGAGAGAGATGAAAAGCCATTGAATTCCTGATCGAGCACACGTCTGCTAGCCTTTGCCAGACTAAGCTTCTCAGTGGCTAAGCTGTGTGCTGGCTGGTTGGGCTGGTTTGACTGAGGCTCTCTGCTCTAAATTTTCCATGATTTCATCCTTTTTATTTTTTGTTGGCTTAGTTCTTTCCAGTTTCCATCTGTGACTTACCAGTTCCTGCTTTGTGGGCTGTGCAGGACTATGCAGCGTCTATGAAAAAGAAACGCTAACGATTCTCTTTTTGCCCAGCAAACATTTTAGGTTGTTTATTAAGTATCTCCTCTTCCCCAACCAATGGCTTATGATTGCACTGGAAGTACAGGTAATCTTCACCTCACGACCACAGTTGAGCCCAAAATGTCTGTTATTAAATGAAACATTTGTGGTGTGAGTTTTGCCCCCATTTTACGACCTTTCTTCCCGCCGTCATTAAGTAAATCATCGCAATTGACAAGTTAGCCACCTGATTATTAAGTGAATGTGGCTTCCCAATTGACTTTGCTTTGCAAAGGGGGATCACATGACTTTGGGACAAGCCATGGTCATAAGTATGAACCAGTTGCCAAGCACCTGAATTTTGATCACCTGTTCATGGGGATTCAGGTTGTAACTATGAAAAATGGCCTTAAGCCGCTTTATTTCAGTCCCGTTGTAACTTTGAATGGTCACTAATGAACTGTTGTAAGTCGAGGACTACCTGTATTTTCCATCATGGAACTTTTGGGGAATCATTTTGAAGCCTCTCCCAGGTGTTTTCCCTCTTTTCCATGAAGATGGAAAACATGGTTTCATCATTCTGGTAGGTGAGGTTATCAGGGTCGTTAATTTTGCTCTGGAATGGCGTGAAAATTACCAAGGAGTCTCCTGTGGGTTTTACTCCACTAGTTAAAAGTCTGTAGAGATTCTCAGACATCCAGGTTATGGTTGTTCCAAAGGTGCTTTTTCAGGAGGCAGCTGGACTTTCTTGTTTTTTTTCTAAGAAGACATTTCACTTCTCATCCAAGAAACTTCTCCAGCTCTGACAAGATGATGGGGAATAGAAGGATTTATATTTCTTGCAGACAGCTGGTCATTTGTGTCCTTTTAGAGAGTAGTTGAAGCCACTTGGAGGTGTATCTGTGTCCTCGGGGTTACCTGAGTGGTGCTCTTGGTTCCTGTAGTCTGCATTTTTTCCTCTGGAAATCCATTTATACTCCCACACCATTCCAAAGGAGTTCGTCCCAAACTGTATAGCTAAAAATCTGTAGAGATTCTCAGTCCTCCAGGTCTGTAAACCACTTAGAGGATGCTGTAAAGCAGTGTGAAGCAGTATATAAGTCTAAGTGCTATTGCTATTTTGAGCTTCTTTCAAGAAAGATCCTGCCCAATCTTGGTTTTTGGTAAGTGTGCCATTCTTGGATTCAGTTGGTGGCACTAGAGAGCTAACTTAGTGGAGCTGCAAGCTAGTCATGATATGAAATTGATCTTGCAGAGATTAGGTCTCTAGACAGAAGGAAAGAGAGAGAGAAGGAGGGCAAGAGAGAGATGCATACATACACAGAAATATACACAGATTAGCTGGGGTAAAAACTAGGAAGGGTGGAATTTGAATCTAATCCTTATTTGGTTTTAAGAAAAAGCTCTTTGTTCGAACTCTGGTATTATAATAGACCAAGTTACATAGCTCAGTGGATGGTTAACTGGAATGGATTTGGTGTGCCACGTGCAAATTTTTTTGCTTTAGCTGAATAGGTCTTTCTATTAGTCCTCTTATGCTTGCTGGTGGGGGAAAAGTCCATTAAAGTTAGCTTACAGCCTTACACATACAGTACATACAGTACTCTCTTTCCAAACTTGTATGCCAGAACCAGATGCTAAGTAAGTATAGTAGCAAAGATATAAGAAAAAAAAACCTACTTGTTAATGCTTGAAGAACTGCAAATACGGCTATACCACAGTGTATAAAGCTGTAGCACAATTTTGTTGTGTGTCTTCTGTGTTTTCCCCCACTGCATTCTTTTTCTCCTTAACTTTGAGTTCACAACACTTTGTCAAAAGTCGGAGCCAGTGCTGACTTGAAAAAGGAAGTGGACAAGAAACCCTCGGTAAAATCAGAAAACAAGAGCAAATTCTCTCAGGCCAAGTTGTTGGCAGGAGCTGTGAAACACAGAAGGTATGTTTTGCAATTCAGTGGTTTTTGCCCCCATGGCTCAGAGTGGCAGCAGTAACAAAGGACTCAAGTCTTTAGATTTTTCCGTGCAATAAAACTAATTAAATGGCAGATTTTTTTTTTTTGCAGTTGGATGAAATCCATCTCTTTTTTTCTCTGTGGAATTAGAGAGAGTCTGTGACATGTATGTAAGTCTGGAAATGAGGTTCCACGTATCCAGAAGCATCTGGATATGTTCAGTTACCCTTGGACCCACAATGGGCAGCAGGTCTTCCCAAAGATCTCATGAGGAATTGCACCTCCCCCTGGACAACTTCCAGGCAAAGGAGGGGCCAGGCTTCACTAACAGATTCCTCAACTCTTTGTTCAGTGACAGTGGCACTGAAAAAAAGGGATGTGACCGTTTTTCACACTGACCAGCCTTGCAGCCTCTTCACGGTCATGCAATCAAAATCCAGACACTTGGCAACTGGTTCGTGTTTATGACGGTTGCCGTATTCTGGGAATCACGTGATTCCCCTTTTGCAACCTTCAGAGAAGCAAAAAATGGGGAAGCCAGATTCCCTTAACAACTGGGTTATTAACATCATAACTGCAGTTATTCCCTTAACAACTGTGGCAAGAAAGTTCATAAAATGGGGCAGAATTCACTTAAGTGTCTTATTTAGTAGTGGAAATTGGGGACTCAGTGGTGGTTGTATGTCGAGTATTACCCGTAACGCGGAGGAGAGCAATAGAATCGTCGTATAATGGATTCTCACCCCCAAAGTAGCCACGGTTTGGAGCCCTTAAGGCTGTGCTGAGTGCCGACAGACTTGACCTATGCCTGACGGGCTCCTGTCTCCCTCTTCACTATTTTTAGATTGTGAAGGTCAGTAGGTGGAAAACTGACACGTTGGGAGACACTGTTCCTCGACCCTGTAGCCTTTCCCAAAAGCCTCAGAGACAGGTTGATGGGATGCTTGTTAGGGATACACCCTAGCAGAATCTGCACGGCAGTCAGGCAAAATATGTGAGATAAACGTTTTTGTAGCTTACATTCAGTAAAACAGATACACCATGCTAGTTAAATAGTTTATTCCAGTAAGAGTTATAGCATAGTCAAACAGTCCGTATATCGTTCACTAATTCAGTCCGTCCAGGGATTATTCAGTTGCAAAGTCCAGTGTCGAAAAAGAGAGGTCAGTAAACTTACAAATATCAGTCCAGTAATATATCTCCTCGCAGTAGAAATATGAAGAAGTCAAAACTCCTCTCTTCCTTCAGCAACTCAGCAGTAGGGAAAACAAGCAGTTAGCAAACCATCAATCCATCAAACCATCAATCATCAGGAATCGTCAGCAATCAATCAGGTTCTCTTGCTCCCTCTTACGGCGGTTCAACACCGCACCCAAAATTACATGCTTTGCAGTTTAAAGTGACACACACTTAAACTTACTATCATAGTTTATATATATTATTTTACCCAAACTACGTTAGGTAACCTTGTTATTCCTAACAATGCTGACCTGATCAGGAGAAACAAGGGGTGAGCTGGGAGGACAGAATGAGAAAAGGCCTTGGAAGTCATCTAACCCAACTCCTCTGCCCAAGCAGGAGACTCGATACCATTTGGAACAAGCGTCTGTCCAGTCTCTTCTTAAAAGCCTCCAGTAATGGAGCACCCATAACTTTGGAAGCCATTCCAACTGATTTATTCAATTGAGCGCTACCCTCCATTCCTGCATGGTCGTGCCCAACGAAGATTCTTGGAATGGGTGGTAGGAAGCCACTTCTGAGTTGGCATTTGTGATTTGGAATGGGTTACAGGAGAGCATTATTTTCTTCTGGAGGAGGAAGGCTATCCAATGGGTGAACTATCAAGGAGACAAGCAACCTAGAACTAAGAAGAAATTAAAAGTGATTAAAATAAGATAACCTGTATTGTCATTTTTTTTCTTTTACTGTGACTGAGCACACTGGCCCACATTAAAAATGAAATTCTGTTGCCTGCTCTCAAAAGAAAGTATTATTAACCAGTGAAACAGCTTGCCTTCAGAAGTTGTGGGAGCAGGTTAGGCTAGAAAACCCTCCAGCTCCGTTCCAACTCTGTCCTCCTGCAGCCGTTTTTGTTCAGGCCTGTATCGCTTGCTCTCTTCATGGCTAATTTGCAAAGATAGTCTTGTCTTGTGATAAGCCACAAGGATGGTAGCATTCTTGGGTTTCTCTTCCTGTGACGGCTCACTAGCAGGCTAGCAACAGCACGAGAAGCAACAGCACGAGAAGCACTGGTGATGTTCCCTAGTCTGTCAATCAAACATGTGCAGGAAGAAAGCCAAGTTCAGACAAAAGCCACCTCTGTCCAGGTCTGAGCTACCTCTCTTCTCCATTCTTAATGCCACAATAGGGCTGTAAAAAATTTTTACATCTTCGGTTTACCATGCCAGATGAAAGCTTCCTTGTAGTTTGTAGCTCACCATTTATGGAGGATTGATGTACAACTTCAGCCAGCTGTGGCATCTGAACCAACTCTGGTCACCTTAGCATGATGTGCGCCTCTGATTGTGTCTTTTTGCCTGCCTGTTTTCCATAATTTTAAGTTCCGCTCTTTGGATTTGTGTCTCTTTGCAGTTCAGAAGGTGCCAACAGCGTAAAAAGGTTGAAACTGGACCCGGATCCTGACCATGATAAGGTTCCAGGTATGTATCTGCATGTGTCAGGAAGGTTCCAGGTTTATGGGGTTCAGTGCTTGGCATGGTTAGCTCTGCCCTGCTTTCACGCGTTGCCTTTGAGCGGTTGAGATGGAAGGGGATTTTACTAACGTGATATTGGGGTGTTTCTCAGCCCTTGGCGACTTCAAGAGGGGTGAACTTCAAATCCCAGAATTCCCCAGCCAGTCTTTGACTGCGCTCTTCTTGGAAGAAGCTCTCCAGGGGTGGAATTCTACCGGTTCGGCCCAGTTTAGGCAAACCAGTAGCTCCGAGGATCATCTGTGAGCACCGGTTTGCTCCAACAATCAGCTGTTGGGCCCACCTGCCTACCCTGACTCTGTTCTGACCTTTTATTTCCTGGTTTTCAAGCTCAGCTGCTTTGTGTAGCACAGCGGATTGCCACGCACCAACTGTTTAACATACAGGATTGCAGAAGGTCAGCAGCAAACCCCGCTGCACTTCCATTTGGCATGTGTGCGCACGCTCACCAAAATGGTTGTTCTTACACCGGTTGAATCGCACCCCTGAAGCTCTCCGTGCAAGGGGGGCCTGTATGAGAAGCTATTTATTTAGCGTATGGCAACAATATTAAAAAGAAAAACGTCCCAATTAACATTCTCAGTGAGCAATTCTGAAACTATTTCTTTACAAATTCAAAAGCAGGCTACTTGTCAAGTCAGCGTATGATGGAGTTGCAGGCAGAAAGTCTCCGTTCCAAGGGGCCATCCCACAACACGTCGCACTGTCTGCTTTGGAGCACCACAGCTACACTCCGAAGAGGGGAGCTTTCCCCATTTAGGGAGGAAATGAGCTCAACTGCCGTGTCGGGTCCTAACCCTATTAAGGTCTTGAGGGGTAGATAGAATGCAAGTTGAATATTTTGGTTCAGCTGCAATGCACCTGCCTTGTTGACTCCTAGTCCTGTTGTGGTCTTCTGGGGCAGACAGAATCCAGATAGACTGGAGTAGAGGAAACTGGGAGTGGAGCAGAACAGAATAAAATAGAATAGACTGGAATAGAACAGAACAAACTAGAATAGAATAGACTGGAGTGGAGTGGAGTGGAGTAGAGTTAGGAAAAAAGCACCTTTGGGCCAACTGTGACATGGATCTCCAACCTTGACAACTTTTAAGACTTGTGGACTTCAACTCTTAAAGTTGCCACGGTTGGGGACCCCTGACATGGATGATCGAAAATCTCTGTGAACATTCAGACAAAATTAATGTGGTCCAGCGCTGCAGTTGGAGGGGGGAGTAACCCAGTGTCCGAAAAGAGCAAAGATGACTTTTCCAAGCTCAGTATCCTGGTTTGAGAACAAGCGCCACTAGCCTCCATACAGATACGCCACTCTTTGTTCTCCTTGACCTAAATCACGCTCTGTTTTACTGATTGTGACCCTCGACGTCTCTCCCAACGCAGAACTGCTAGAGAACTCTGGGCAGAAGCTTCACAAAATTGCCCCCTGTCTTGTCTTTGTGATTGGGCCTGGTCCAGACTTTGGGCCGTTTGCTTCCAGAGGCAAGGCTTGTGCTTAATTCAAGAGATTTGCTGTTGCTGTTGCACATCGCCATCTGCTCACTGAGTTCTCCTTCTAAGGTCTCCAGGCTAATTAGCCACAGAAGGTTGGCCGTCTCTAATCTCTTTCAATATTAGTCATCCTCCCAACTGCTTGGCAGGGATGGTTGATCATTCATTCTGTGTGGCACTTGGCCCACAATGGCACGTTGCGCACACGCACACACAAAGTGGCATTTGAAGAGATGTTTCACTTCACTGGAGACAGAATGGGGCTTAGATCTTCTGGATGGAGAGTCTTCTGAGCCAAAGTTTTCAAATTCTTTCCCAGAGCCAGATATTTTTACTTTTTTATTTAATCCTACCTTTACTCTCTTTTTTTATTTATAAATAACACCAGGTGGCGAACAGTTCTAATCCTCTTCCCCCCTCTTTTCCCCACAAGAACCCTGTGAGGTGGGTTGTGCTGGGAGAGAATGACTGACCCAAAGTCATCCTGCCGGTTTTCATGCAGTCTCCTAGGGATTGGCCCAAAGTCATCCAACTAGCTTTCATGCCTAAGGTGGGACTAGAATTCACCATCTCCTGGTGGTTGGCCCAGAGTCACCGAGCTGTGTTGATGCCAAAGGCTAATGGGTTTCATGCCTAAGACTAGAGTTCACCACCTCCTGGTTTCCAGCCCGATGCCTTCACTGCTAGACCCTCAGAACAGATGTTTTGTCGTTCCCCCACCTGCTCTTGCCTTTTCCCTTCAGTTTGATGTTTGATTGGCACCTGTGATGACATGGAGGGCCTGGGCTCACCAGTAAGATAGAAGCAGACTGCAACTTTGGGTGTACTTAGGCTGCAGTCAAGCAAAACAAAAACATAAAGACTGAGATTAAGAGGGCTGTTAAGATCAATTTTTATAAATGTGATAATGGTAATATCACTATTAAAGAGATGGAGAAAAAGACTACATAAAACAAGAAAAGTGAAAAAAATATGACAAGATATACCATTGTAACTAGTTACAATTCTATATATGCTTGTCTAAGGCAAACATTAGATAGATAGATAGATAGATAGATAGATAGATAGATGATAGAAAGAAAGAAAGAAAGAAAAAAAAGAAAGAAAGAAAGAAAGAAAGAAAGAAAGAAAGAAAGAAAAATACCCCTCAGGCATCATCAGAAAATCTCCAGAACCGTAAAGCCTACAAGCTTGAAATTTGGCACGTATGTTCATCTTGGCTTCTAGGTGCTCACTAAGAAAGGATTTTTCAAAATGACCATCAGAGCATTAGTATTTCATATATTATTATCATTAACACGCTCTGATGTTAAGGAGTTCTACTCCCCCTCCCCACCTGAAAAGAAATCTGTTCCAAATGCAAAACACAAGCAGAGGAGTTTCAGCTTAAGAGCACCAAGCAGCTTTAGTACAGAAACAGTTGAGCTAAGGCACGCCCAGGCTCCTTGCTGTCTCCTTGCTCACACAGCAAATACTGTTTTAGTTTCCAAACAGCCCTCAACTCACACACACTGACAGGACGCTAGCCAGATGAATACCGATGGATACTGGTAGGCAGAGGCAGAATTTTTTTTCTCCTTATTTTCCTCCTCAAAAACTAAGCGCGACCACATAGTTTCATAGCGAAGCGTGGCTATCGAGCTAGTATGTATATATTTCTGATACATTTTCACAACTATCTTTTTTATTTTAACCTACCGTGTTCTGTATAAAAGAGACCCATATTTATTTCATTACCCTTGCCCACACAAAGTCTGCATCTGGACAATCTGTTCAGAGACGACAACTGCAATCAGGACTTCAATCCGCTGGACTGTTTATAGGGCTATAAATTTTATCTTCCCAGTGTTCTCACCACGGCCAAAAGACTGAAATCGCAGCATTGCAGTTAAAGGGTTTTCATTGAAATGTCAAAATACGCGATTCGGCTTTTGATTGCCAAATCCAGTTGACCATCGATCATTTGGGTAGATCTGCAGCGGCATTCATCCAAACTCCTTCGCTCTTTGCAAACTTGAGAGAGCTCCAGCAAATAAAGATCAGAGGATATGCAAGTCAGGGATTCTAAGCGATTTCACTGGAGCTAAGAGCTCTTAACATTTTCTTTTGGATTTTGCATTCCGCCCCCGCCGCTCTTAGATCCAGGAAGCTGTTGCTCATGTAGCTTCCTGGACCATCTTGGAGCAATGTACCAAATAGCGAGGGAGTCGTGGAAGAGATTTTCAGTAGCAGGAATTTATTTCAATTCAGAACTGAGTTTGGGGTACGGATAGTCCTTGAGTTACGACCGTTAGGGAGCCTGTCCATGACAGTCGTAAGTCATAGCCACAAAACAGGTCGTGTGACAGAGCAAAGTTTATGCCTGTTTCCGTGGCAGTCATTAAGCAACTCCCGTGATCGTTAAGCAAACCCATTGACCACTGTGACCAGCTTTGCCTTCAGGCGTTGTGGGTGCTCCATCACTGGGGGTTTTTAAGAAGAGACTGGGCAGCCACTTGTCTGGAATGATAGAGGGACTCCTGCTTGAGCAGGGGGCTGGGCTAGATGACCTCCAAGGTCCCTTCCAATTCTGATTGACTGATTGATTGCTATGGTGTGGCTTGGCCAAAAACTAGAAGTGATGATTTTCAGCAAAACCGCCATAAAACACAGAGCCACGAGGCCACGGGACTCTGTAAACGGCTATAAATGCCGCAATGTTCTAAGCATCTGAAGTGCAGTCACATGACCAGAGGCGGGCAAGCATTGGAACTTCAGATCTGAGTCCCAGGTCCCCTTTTTCGGGTCCGTCGTACCTTTGAAGAGTCACTAAGCGACCAGTTACAAGTCAAGGACTACCTATACCGGAGGCAGAATTTCTAAAGAGATGAGAGCATTGTTTCTCAACCTCGGCAACTTTTTAAGACGTGTGGACTTCAACTCCCAGAATTGCCCAGCCAGGCATGGGAATTCTTGCTCTTGAGGGAATTTGGGGAGTTGGAAGTCCACATGTCTTAAAAGTTGCCACAGTTGAAGAGCGCTGGATTAAGGGGTTAAATGCCCATTTGGCTCCTGTCCTCACTTTTGGGCAGAAACCCCCTGCGGTCTATATGGCAAGAGCTGATTCTTTCACACAACTCTTTGTCTACCCAATCCTTCATTTTGACTGAAGACGTTAACTTGGATGTGTAAGAAGACATCTCAGTTTTAATAAACTTTGGTCCAGTGACCTTGGTTTAACCTTTTTAAGATATCCTGTCCTCAGTGATGTTCTATTCAACAGGAAACTGGACATGGAGCATACGATCCTAAGCCTTTACCAGATAGTCCTCGACTTAAAACAGTTCACTTAGTGACTGTTGGAAGTTTACAACAGCTGGAAAAAGTGACTTAGGACCATTTTCCACACTTATATGACCGTTACAGCATCCCCAGGGTCACGAGATTTACATTCAGCTGCTTGGCAACTGACTCACATTTATGACGGTTGCAGTGTCTCTGGGTCATGTGATCACCTGTGAATTTCGGATGAGCAACGTCAGTGGAGAAGCCAGGTCCGCTTAACAACCGTGTTTCTGACTTAACAACTGCAGTGATTCTCTTAACACTGGTTAAGCAGGATCGTAAAATGAGGTAAAACTTACCTGTAGCGAGAAAATATTGGATAAGGACCCAAAAATGGATAGAAGAAATAATCAAACAGCAAATTGAATAAAGACCGAAGGTTTTTCTATGAGGTGTAATAATGAGAAAATATGATAAGAAAACAGAGTATTAATGCTACACTTATTAATGGCAGCAAGAATAACTTATGCACAGAATTGGACAAACGATAGTATGCCACCAGAGGGAAAGGTGATAAGAAAAATCCTAGAGTGCCGAGATGGGTAAGTTGACCATGGAGACAAAGGAAAGAGAGGAAACGGAATGTACTGTAGGATTGGCTAAATAATAGACATAGAGTCGAACAGAGAAGAAGACAATAAGCTAAGGGATATAGTGGACAAAAAAGTTAAGATTTATGTAAAAGTGTATATATATCATCACGAAAGAAAAATAGTTTCATAAAAAAAAAATTTTTTTAAATGGGGCAAAACTCAACCCATTTCTTCTCACTTAGCATCGTAAATGTGTTGGGCTCCATTGTGGTCATAAGCTGAGGATCACCTGCATTCCCACAGTTCTTTTTTTTTTTCCCCCCCTTCTCTTTCAGAAAAAGCATCGTGCGTCCCCCTGGGCGGCAGTGCCATGAGCGGCTCCGCCCTCCACTGCCCCTCGGCCGCCGTGTGCATTGGCATCCTGCCCGGCCTCGGGGCTTACTCAGGAAGCAGCGACTCCGAATCCAGCTCGGACAGCGAGGGCACCATCAATTCGACGGGCAAGATTGTCTCTTCCGTCTTCCGGGGCAGCAATTTTTTCGATGCGCCACTCTAGGCCGCTTCTTGGAGTCTCGCTCAGAACTCGGGTCCTCCTTCAGCCCAGGCGTTCCCTCGAGCTCACCCCCCCTTTCCCCCCCCATCTCCTTTTTTTGGGGGGGAGGGGACAATGCAAAAATCACGTCCTGCAATAGTTTTTCACAATGTTTTGGCCTCTTTCCTCCTGTCTCCCTCCTTCCCCCCCCCCCAAAAAAGGTCTTCCCCCCAAGACTGAGGGGAGTCTAGCCAGGAAGAGGTTTCAGGGGTACCCATTGAGAATAAAGCAGTCCCCTGAAGCGGGGGGAGGTTGAGAAGAGCCTTCAGGGTGAAAGACGATGGGGGTGACTGCCTGTCATTTTTGGAAATATTTTCAGATCAACGGCAGCATCTCTGCAAGGCGAAAATGCTCCTTTAGCTGTTAAGGGGCATTGTGTGACGTAATTAAAGAGGACGGGAGAGGCCACATAATCACACTAGTGACAAGAAGTGAATTTTGAGAAGTGTCAGAACCAAGTTCCCATGTTGTGTTCGATTAAAATATATATATATATCTCAAAGCATTTTTTTTTTTAAAAAAAGTCTTGGATTTTGCCCTTCGTGTTTCTCCACGTAGTCCTGCCGTGCTTTGCTATCATCTCTTGGTCTCCCTGCTGGATCTCCTTGGTAGCCCAAATTCCTTTTAACTGGGGTTTTAAAGGTGATGGTCAGTTCCAGGAAATCTTGAGCTTCCATTTAAGGCTCGTGATTTTTTTTTTTTCCCCCTGCAAGATGACTAAGGAGCTTTTGAAGGAGTGGCTGGCTTAGTGGAGGCATTACTGAAAAAAAATAGCATCCCTGGTAGTTACTTCACAAGGCCTGAAACGCTGGAGTTCTTTCATAACAACTAGAAATCTGGGAGGAGGCCAGTCAAGCAACTGGGATTCTCTGGACTGGAGGACCTACCGTGCATGTAGTTCTACTTTAATGCTTTGATTGATGTACAAATGAAACCTTAAATGTTCACCCAGTTGATATTGTGAGCTCTGTTTATTGAAGAAAAGCTATTAAACCCCTGGCTCTTGGACAGCCTCCCTTGATCCTGGCTGCCTTGGGAGGAAACCTTTTAGAATCCAGGTTCTATTGGGCCAAGTTCCAACCACTTGGAGGGATGCGCTTTCGGCATCGAAACAAAGCTTGTGGTTTGGAGTAGTCCTAGGAAGAACGAGGCGCAAGTGCAGGTACAACTTCTGTTGCTAAGTGAGACAGTTGTTGAGTGAGTTTTGGCCCATGTTACGACCTTCCTTGCCACCGTTGTAAAGTGCATAACTTCACATAACTAAGTTACATAGCTAGCAACAACCGTAGTAGTTAAGTTAGTAACCCAGTTGTTAAAAAGAATCTGGCTTCCCCATTGGAGCTTTGCTTGTCGGAAGGTCACTGCACCCATCATAAATATGAGTCAGTTGCCAGTCTGAATTTTGATCACGTGACCCTGGGAATGCAGCACTGGTCGTGTGAAAAATGGTCATGAGTCCCTTTTTTCCAATGCCGCTGTAACTTCAAATGGTCACTAAGCATAAGTCAGGCGCTAGTAGTGTTCCCATGCTGTTTTAAGTTTCTGAGAACCAGCAGGGCAAATGTCAGCTTGATCTACATCTGTCCTCAATCACTGTAAAGAAAAAATATATTTTTGTTTTTTTACTATGTCATGATTGCTGACAAGGAAAACTCTAAATCAGTCAAGACGTTGCTATTTGCAGCTCAAGCTGTCACCTTGTAAAACAGCCCCTCCAGTGCACTATGTCTGTCTGTCTATTATCTATTTATTGTATATCACCTCTACTGTATATCATCTATATCTCATCTCTACTGTATATTACCTATATCTATTTGTCTGCCTCTTTTGTCTATATTTGTCGATTTGTCTATCCATCTATTATCTATGTCGATCGTCTGTCTATTTGTATCTATATATCTATTTATTATTTATCTAATCTATCTCTAATTTTGTTTTCTCCCCAACAATAGAACTTGGCAAAATGGACACTGGCATAATTTTTTGGCTAAATAATTCATAGACTGAATTCTCTAGCCAGATCACTTCAAATCTGATGTCAGTATGCTGAATGTAATTAATTTCACTTAGGGTGCAAGTGTGTCACTCACATTATGCAAATCCAGACCTTTTGATTAGTCATTTAGTCACTGCGTTTGTTACCCTGGAGTTAAATGTGTATTGTCATAACAGCCCTAAAGTTGAGACAATGCAACATTCCCTGGAATAGAAAGCGGCTTGATAAGCTTCTCCTGAACTTAACATTCAAATTAATCTTAACAGTTTAAAACAGGACTTTACTCAGCAATAAAATAGATGTATTCTCATGAACACAATTGTGAAAATGAGCCCAAAGTATATTTGCTGTGTGATACCTTTTAGTGAAATTAGCTGTACTCTGTTAAGTACTTAATGATATTACCAATACCTAAGATTTAGTCTGGTTTTATTTTGCATAGCACGCTAAATTTCTTGACTGAAGCCCCTTGAATGAGTTTGCCTCATATACAATATGAAGCCGCAAGAAAAAATAAAGTTAACATTAACCAAGCTTAAATCATTCTGTTTGCAGGTCTGAATTTAAAAATCAGACTCAGCAAAAACAGAGACGGCCCTAATTTAAGGCAGGTAACTCTCATCTGCTGAAGCCAAACTCTGGGAAGAAAAGCTCATTTGTCTCTAAATTATATTTTCAAATATATTTAATCCAAGACCACTTTAAAACTGGGGGGAAATTAACCAGTGCATATCAGATAAGATAAGATTTTATCTTTACTTTCAGGTTTGATTTAACTCCAGTTTAATTCCTGGTGAGATACATTCAGGTATTTTCTGGATTACAATATTAAAGTGGTTCTTCACTGACTTTTATCATCCAAGCTGACCGAAAAACCAGCAATGTCTTATTTTTATGGAAATTCATGTCTGAAAACAGCAACGGCTTATTTTTATGGAAATTTATTATTGAAACCAGCAATCTTTTTACTTTATGTAAATTCAGTAAGGTTCTGAGAATTCACGGCTGAATAGTAACAATCCTGAAATGCTCCCAATATTATTTGTTTCTTGGTATCAAAAGTTACAGGAATTGTGTTGCCCTGTACGTTGCTAAACTATAATACGTTCATTTAGTGCTAGGTAGGATGTACAGGTAAGCCATGACTTACGACTGGTTGCTTAGCAACCGTTTGAAGTTACAGTGGACCCTGAAAATGGGGCTTATGACCCAGATTTAAAGGTACAATATCTGGGGACCCCTTGCCGTCACATGGCTGGGCAGTTGGCCTACATTTATGGCTGTTTGCAGTGCCTTGTAACCATGCCTTACAATGTTTCTGCAAGAAATTGGGGTTTACTTCTGGTTTCCGGCATAAAAACCAATCCATAGCAAACAGTGTTTGCTTAATGACTGCCACGTTTGCTTAATGACCATCCATGGTGTTCACTTTACAGCTGTTGCAACATCAGGGTCACGCAGCAAGCTTGAGATTAGAACTATTGTGACTTATAATCAAAATTGTGGCCTCAGTTACAGCAAACCCTCGACTTAATGACCATAACTGCGAGCAGAATTTCCACTGCTAAGCAAACCATTGTGGTGGTTTAGGGAATCGTGCCTGATTTCTATGAACTTTTTGTAATGGTTGTTAAGTGAATCCTTTGGTCATTAAATGAATCCAGCTTTCCCCATTGACTTGTCAGAAGTTGGCTGGGACAGCTCCAAATATCAAATACATGACCCCAGCACACTGCAACTGCCCAGCACAAGGGCCCAAAGTGCGATCTTTGTGATCATAGGGATAGCCATAAGTGCGAGGACCAGTCATAAGTCTCCTTTTTTTTTTTTTATAGTGGCATTGTAACTTCAAACGGTTGCTAAACTGAGGTTTGTAAATCAAGGGTGAGCCCAATTATTCAGTTGGAGCTCACCCTTTTGCTCAACACAGATCCAGCATGTTTTGCAAATTCAACTGAGGTTATGAGAGTTGTAACCTGGCATTTAGGGAAGGGGGTCCCCCCCAGGATTCTCCTTGGGAGAGGCAAAGAGGGAGGGGAGAGACAGGCCAGGTGGCACAGCCACAACGTCAAAAAAGAGGATGAACATTTAGAACGAGTGCAGAAAAGATGATGACTGAAGCCCAGAACACCTGAGAAATGGTTGCAGGAATTACAGTAAGTCTAGCTGAATGGGGAGAGAAAAAAAGATTGGGGTGACATGATTATCTCATGTTTCAGTATCTGAAGGGGCTGCCGCAATAAAAAGTGGGGGTCAATATATTTTCCAAAGCACCAGAAAAATGCGGTACGTCTAATGAAAACAAGGACTAGGGGTGACATGATAGCAGTGTTCCAATATTGTGTGACTAAGTTAGCAACTGCAGTGGTTCACTGAACAACTGGCAGGAAAGGTCGTGGGATGGGGCAGAATTCACTTAGCAGCTGTCTCGCTTAGCAACGGAGACCTTGGCCTCAGTTGTGGTCTTACATCAAGGATTATCTGTACAGTATATGGAACAATGTTGACCATACCAGCCCCTGCAGGTTTCTAAAAAGGGGCCGAGCGACCATTTGTCCAGGATGCAATAAGGTTTCCTGCCTTGAGCAGAGGGTTGGACTAGAAGACCTCCAAGGTCCCTTCCAGCCCTCTGAAAAATGTAAGCACCAGATGGGTATTTGGTACAACCCTGGTCAGGAGTTGAGATGTAATTCACCTGGAGGGATTTGGTTCAAAGGAGCTGCAGGAGGACTCAGTGGGATCAAATCACAGCAGGCCTCAACGGAGATGTGAAGAGTTCAGGGTTCTTTATTAACCTGAGTATAACAAATAATCATGTGTACATGGTATAAAAATGAACGTAGAGCAAAGTACAAGTTACAACACGTTGTAGGACGGTCCACATTTCTTTGGGCAATGAGATTGTGAGAACGTCACACTTGGAGACAGTAAGTTGTGGCTGTAAAAAAAGTCATTCCACAAAACTCGTACAAAGTACATCCAGATACTTAAAAGTTGGATCTGTGGATTCGAGGCAGGGGAAATGTCCAGGATCCGGCCACGGTGGGTTCTTTCCTTCCAGGATTCTTGGATGCGGATCCCTAAACTGCTCACGATGCAAGTTGCCTTGGGAAGGAATCGGGTTATGCTTTGATCCTTTTGATTAAATGAATTTGGTTAAACGAAAAGTTATTGGAAACCACGTGAGACATGCAATCTTCTGCCACCAACGGATGTGGGATACATGCAGGCCAGGAGCAAACAGTTTGACTTCTAAGCGGGTTCTGAGTTGAGGGGTGGCAAATTCTGGTGCTTGAAGAATTGAACCACTTGCTGTGGGAGTTCTGCCAACACGGCCTTGGCCAACGTTTCTTTGGGTGCCTGAAACAACAAGAAAGCCAGAATGACAAAGGGCTGGTCCATATATCTGAGAAAGTGGAACCCCTTTTGCAGGGGGAAACGGAAGAAAACATGAAACTCTGCCTCGACCATGGTTAATCAGAATAGAGCTGGAAAGGACCTTGGAGGTCTTCTAGTCCAGCCCCCTGCTCAATCAGGAGACCCTATACAATTTGAGATAAGGGGCTGTCCAGTCTCTTCTTAAAAACCTCCAGTGATGGAGCGCATACGATTTCTGGAGATAAGTTGTTCCATTGGTTAATTGTCCTCACTATTAGGAAGTTTCTCCTCAATTCCAGGTTGATCCTCTCCTTGATTAGTTCCCATCCATTGTTCCTTGTTCTCAACCAGGTCTTCCTGGCTTTCAGTTTTTATTTTTATTTATTTATTTTGATTTGTCAATCGCTTTACAAGATAATAGGTATAAGTATATACATAGTCATGAATACATGAAATGGGTACATCTAAGAAAAACAAACAATAGGACAGGGACGGGAGGCACGTTGGTGCTCCTGTACTCTGACATGGTTGGCCATACCCTGGATGGGCACCACCAAGCCTTTCCCTAGGTCCTCAC